TTATGTTGATTCACCTTTTGCTTTAATTACAGCCTTTCACAAGTTCATTCTTACATATAATAAATAGAGTAAAATGTATGTGTATTTGGCGTGCTGTCCGAGGGGAGGGCTCCGAGCTTGGAATTTGGCCCGAACCCAGAATACCCCCCGGCTGAGATAGGAATAGTTAGAAGTGAGGAGATGGGGTGCTAGAAAACTGTCAAGAAACAGTTTAACCTCCAAGAAAGCAGGTTAGTCTGCTGTGTATATACCTGTATATACCTTGTTAATTAAGTTGATTACTGAAAGTGCTCCTCTCGTGTTAATTAGGTTAACTATCTGAACGTGCTCCTCCCAAATTTTTTTAATAAAACAATTTAGTCTGTTTGGATATGTCTCTACCAACTTTGCACATCTGGGCATATTAAGGAATGAATCCCATCTTATCTGTTTGGTAACCATGGTAATTTCAGTTAGGACCTCATTTAGGACAAAAGCTATTACAGAACAACATTTCCTAAGTGCATTATCTTATCTTAACTACAGATAAGAAAACGGTAGTAAGCATCCTAACTCGCCAAAAATTCCTAAAAACAGTCTTAACTGTAGGATAACCTGACTGGTGTCCTAACTTCAAAGCTTTTTGAAATCCAACTGTAAAAAAAAAAACACATTACATTAGTTCTTTTCGAGAATGGCATAACATTTATTAATCATACAAGATGAAGAGAAGCGAAGTTTGATGGTGGAGAGCTGTCCGTCTGGCCTGCAAATATTTCAGCAGTTATGATGTGTGAATAATAGACTTCACTGTGCTTCTAGGCACTAATAATGCCTTTGAAATTTGTTTCGTATCCATCTCCTGACTTGTGCCTGTCCACAACTTTATCCCGGAGTGTGTAACATCATTGTCATTTTAAGTGTTCTCATATTCTGCTCATTAACCCTGTGTCTTTAAGGAACAGTTGAAAGTCAAATGGCTTTGTGTGCCATTGAGAAGGTGATTTCAAGTCATTTTTAGGAGGGGGCGATCCTTTTTCCAATTCAGTGATTGTTTTTTTTTGTTGTTGTTTTTGTTTGTTTTTTGGTGTTATATCTTTCACTTGGATGTTATAAGTTGCACTGAGTAAATACAGCTGGATAAAACAAAAAACATGTGATTATTTTAAAGGGGGTGATCATTTTCTATACCCACTGTATATTGGCTTAAAGGCTCTAAAATAGAGCAAAGTGGGGAACAAGGACAACCCTGACGACAAGATCTTTCTAACATGAATGACTGTGAAAGATTTCTAGGCCTAGGAACACTGATTCTATCTTATGCTTTTATAATATATAAAGAATAAAGTATATTTAAATATATAAAATATAATTTATTCATATATTCAGAACTCTCTTTTCAGGTGTTCTGGATCCAGACTGAAGCTTGTGTAAATCCTAGCTACCACGGGATGTCAATTACAATAGTCAATAGGGCATTACAAAAGTCGAGTCTAGAGGTCATGAATGCATGAACTAGCTTTTCTGTATCAGAAACAGGTAACATGTTTAGTAGCTTGGCAATGTTTCTAAAATGGAAGAACTAACAGAGTGTGTTAAAAATGTAAAAGATTGGATGACCAATAATTTTCTCCTATTAAATTCGGATAAGACAGAGATACTACTTATTGAACCAAAAAACAGTACACAGAATCTCTTGGATTACAATTTGCAACTAGACGGATGTACTGTTAATTCCTCTACAGTCAAAAATCTGGGTGTTATATATATTAGATAGCAACTTGTCTTTTGAAAATCATATTTCCCATGTTACAAAAACAGCATTCTTCCATTTTAGAAACATTGCCAAGCTACTAAACATGTTACCTGTTTCTGATACAGAAAAGCTAGTTCATGCATTCATGACCTCTAGACTCGACTTTTGTAATGCCCTATTGACTATTGTAATTGACATCCCGTGGTAGCTAGGATTTACACAAGCTTCAGTCTGGATCCAGAACACCTGAAAAGAGAGTTCTGAATATATGAATAAATTATATTTTATATATTTAAATATACTTTATTCTTTATATATTATAAAAGCATAAGATAGAATCAGTGTTCCTAGGCCTAGAAATCTTTCACAGTCATTCATGTTAGAAAGATCTTGTCGTCAGGGTTGTCCTTGTTCCCCACTTTGCTCTATTTTAGAGCCTTTAAGCCAATATACAGTGGGTATAGAAAATGATCACCCCCTTTAAAATAATCACATGTTTTTTGTTTTATCCAGCTGTATTTACTCAGTGCAACCTATAACATCCAAGTGAAATATATAATACCAACATGTCAGAAAAAAATAAATAAATAAAAAAACAAAATCACTGAGTTTGAAAAAGGGTCAGCCCCTTGTATCAGTATTATGTTGATTCACCTTTTGCTTTAATTACAGCCTTTCACAAGTTCATTCTTACATATAATAAATAGAGTAAAATGTATGTGTATTTGGCGTGCTGTCCGAGGGGAGGGCTCCGAGCTTGGAATTTGGCCCGAACCCAGAATACCCCCCGGCTGAGATAGGAATAGTTAGAAGTGAGGAGATGGGGTGCTAGAAAACTGTCAAGAAACAGTTTAACCTCCAAGAAAGCAGGTTAGTCTGCTGTGTATATACCTGTATATACCTTGTTAATTAAGTTGATTACTGAAAGTGCTCCTCTCGTGTTAATTAGGTTAACTATCTGAACGTGCTCCTCCCAAATTTTTTTAATAAAACAATTTAGTCTGTTTGGATATGTCTCTACCAACTTTGCACATCTGGGCATATTAAGGAATGAATCCCATCTTATCTGTTTGGTAACCATGGTAATTTCAGTTAGGACCTCATTTAGGACAAAAGCTATTACAGAACAACATTTCCTAAGTGCATTATCTTATCTTAACTACAGATAAGAAAACGGTAGTAAGCATCCTAACTCGCCAAAAATTCCTAAAAACAGTCTTAACTGTAGGATAACCTGACTGGTGTCCTAACTTCAAAGCTTTTTGAAATCCAACTGTAAAAAAAAAAACACATTACATTAGTTCTTTTCGAGAATGGCATAACATTTATTAATCATACAAGATGAAGAGAAGCGAAGTTTGATGGTGGAGAGCTGTCCGTCTGGCCTGCAAATATTTCAGCAGTTATGATGTGTGAATAATAGACTTCACTGTGCTTCTAGGCACTAATAATGCCTTTGAAATTTGTTTCGTATCCATCTCCTGACTTGTGCCTGTCCACAACTTTATCCCGGAGTGTGTAACATCATTGTCATTTTAAGTGTTCTCATATTCTGCTCATTAACCCTGTGTCTTTAAGGAACAGTTGAAAGTCAAATGGCTTTGTGTGCCATTGAGAAGGTGATTTCAAGTCATTTTTAGGAGGGGGCGATCCTTTTTCCAATTCAGTGATTGTTTTTTTTTGTTGTTGTTTTTGTTTGTTTTTTGGTGTTATATCTTTCACTTGGATGTTATAAGTTGCACTGAGTAAATACAGCTGGATAAAACGAAAACTGCATCCGTCTTCATTTCAGGCTGCAAAGCAACAAAATGTGATTATTTTAAAGGGGGTCATTCTTTTCTATACCCACTGTATAAGACAAAATGTTGAAATTAAGGGAATAGATTGGAGAAAAACAGAAATTATCACTATTTGCAAATTATGTATTAGTTCATCTAGGACAACCAAATGAAACTTTAGAAGTTCTGATGGAGACATTTGTCACAAATATGTTCAGTTTTTATGTCATCACAGACTTTTAATTTGTGTTCTTTAGTCACTTGTGTTCCTAAGGCCATGTCCACACGTACACGGGTATTTTTATAAACTGAGTTTTTCCTTCTTCCGTTTTTAAAGGGGTCATATGATGTTGCTAAAAAGAACATTATGTTGCGTAGTTGGTTTAATGCAATGTGTTTATACGGTTTAAAGTTCAAAAAACACATTTTCCACATACTGTACATTATTGTTTCTCCTCTATGTTGAGAATGTTGAAATGCGTCGATTCTTACAAAGTTCATCGTGGTGTGCCCTGATTGTCCAGCTATCCAGTGGTATTCAACCAGATCTTACGGTTTCCTTCAAATTCTCTTTTAAATATGGTGTTTGTCACAATATTGGGAAGAGCACGAAAGGGGTTATCATTAGGCTACTGTCTGTGTGCGACACCTGTGAACAGAGGTTCTACTGTCAGACCAATGGACTGTTTGATCAACGAGCGCATACTTATGTCTGTTGTTACCGTCTATGTTCCAAAGCCATCAAACAAAGTCAAGTTCACAAAAATGATCATTATTATTCGCGCAAAAGTATTTTTTCAGAACATGAGTTTTGCTGTTTAGAACACAATTTAAAGCGGAATTGTCATGCGCCAAGCAATCCTCGCTGTGATTAAAACATTAAATCGCATACCACAGGAAAATTGTTCGAAAGCAGCACATCCACTGCAAATATTTCTGTTTAAATTCATATAAAAATGTTGTAATTTCTGGATAATCATTTCATGAAATTTCAGTGCTTAACTTCATTATTCAGAGTGTCATATTTAATATAAACGTGTATGTCAAATGTAAAACAGACTTTAAAATCATTCTGTTTGCTTACTTATTTCGCTCCCTCCAGTAAAAGAGTGCGTACGCATGGTCTAGAGTGTCAGTACGGTGCGCACATATTCACGCCTAGTTTATTTTTTATAAATCCCGATATGTGCGTGGAAAATTGCGTACGCACATTTCCATGCCCATTTTGTGCGTACGCAAAATGTATACATCAGGCCCCTGGTGCTGTGTTTGCGTGTGGACGAACGGCCAAACCGCGTAGAAAAAGCTGCGGTTTTAAAAATAACTGTGTTCGTGTGGACAGGGCCTTAGTTTGTATTTCCCACCACTCTTTAGTTTCCATGGTCACCGCCATTATGAGTTTGTTCTGTTCAGCTGTGTTTGATTAGATACCTTGTTTGTAGTCACTATTTAAGTTGTACCTTCTCCTGCACTCATTGTTCGGCCATGTTTGTGTTTAGGTGAGTTACTCTGCCCTTTGTTTGGATTGTCTTGTGGATTATTATTAAATAACTCGTTTGAACGTCATCTGCCTGTTTCCTGCCTGTCTACACACTCTGCTGTCAGGACCTCAAATTAATTATGCAGTGTGATTTGCTGCTGTGGCTCAGAAGAGCCACAACTTTTTTTTTTTCATGGAGGAGTTTTGCTGTCTTGCCGTCTCCTGCCCCAATGACGACGAGACCCTGAAGTTTCTATTCTGGATCGGGGTGAATTATCACCAGTCCATTTACCTCCCCGACACCACAGGCTGTCATTAGGTTTCTAGAGAGTGTCGCTCCCCGATCCAGTGAACAGCCAGACCCGGAGCCTGTACCATTGATCGTGGAGAAATCGTGTGAGCCCCCAGCAGATGTTGAGGGAAAATCTACCTCCACAAGTGAGCCAGAGCCCGAGCAAGAGAGGACAGAGCTTCCCTTTGCCCCAGAAGAGGAATACCAGAGTGAGTCTGACCAGGGGTGTGAGCCCGCAACACCAGCGGCTGAGGGAATGGAGACAGAGGACTGGCTGATGATAGACTTCAGTGTGGAGGTACTAACTCCCATCCTATCCCATCCAGTACCTGAATCATCATCGCGGTTTCTAGACAGCAGAAAGAACCGTTTGGATTGTGATTTATCGGTTTGTTCTGAATTGGTGCTGCTTAAAGACCACATTAAGGACTATATAGACTGTGATTCAATCATTTCTTCGACCTGCAAGGGCTGTGTCATTCTCACAGTGATCTTGTCTAGTTTTGTGTTACCACAGACCTCAGTTAGTCCTCTAGCCCCACCGCTGCTGGATGTTTACAGCCCTGCGCCGTCTCGGGGTTGTCCTGCTGTGATGTTGAGCTGCAGATTATGCAACCGCCAGTGCGATAGGATCCTGCTGCTCCGCCTCCGGCCTCTACTCCATCTCGGCTTGTCGACCGGTCGCCTCCTCCTTGTCTCCACTAGACCCTCAGCCTTGCAGCTCCACCGGATTCCCTTGTCCCACCGGCTCCCCCTTGGTCAGTCGTCACTCTACTTCCACCTCGGACTTACGGGCCGTTCGCTACAGTCCGACCCTACAGCCCTACGGCTAAAGCAGGTTCCTACTTCCCTTCGGGTATGCCTCAGTCTTCAGTCACACCGGCATTGCCTCAGTCATCGGGTACTCTGGCTCCGCTTCGAACGCTCAACACCGCGGCTTCGCCAAGGTCTCTGGTACCTGCGACTTCACTCCGCTCCATCAGTCCTCCGTCTGCGCCTTCAGATCCACCTGTTCAGTCTGTCAGTCGTCCCCCAGATACTGTTAGTGTCAGCCACCACCACACCATCTTAGCTCCTCCCTCCCTCGATTCCACCGTGGGCTGTCAGCACTGGTGATCTCTGGGTGTGTGCCATCAAGCCGTTTACATCTTCACTGCCGGGATCTCGTCGTCATTCAGAGGTTACCATCCCTTCACCACCTCTTCATCCTCCTCCAAATTACAGAAGGAAAAAAAAAAGTGGTCTTACTCTACCATGCTTAAAAGAGTACTATCATGCAGCCTAATTATTTCATTTAATATGTTTATGCAATCCAAATTTTTAAGGCCAGATGGAAGGACATTGAAAATGCTAATCCTAATAGACCACCAATGTAAGCCATAATGGCTGATGATCATTTGATTAAAAGCAATAAAGAAGAATTCAACCCATGGACAATTAACATATTAAAGATTTGACAAGACAGTAATTAAAAAAAAAAATATCTCAAAGAAACAGCTCTGATATTGAGATGGCCCACACATGATTCAAGGTTTGGACTAAGCAAAGGCTTACTGCATACTGCACCTTTTTAGATAAGGAAAATATGATGGATTTTGAGACTCATAAGAGTAAATTGGTTAAATAGTCAAGATTTTCACAGGTACCTACAAGTAAGGCATAAAACGATGCGAAGTTGATATTTGTCGTGGAAATTCCCAATAAAATCAGACTTCACTGATTTCAGACAGATCAATAGTCGTTCAGTGTGAAACCAACAGTGATGCGATGTCTTTGAAAAATCATACAGCGTGAACTTGGCCTTAGTCTGCACCTTTCGGAACATTCCATATTGAACATACCCTTTTGACTCCTTCTGAGGCCATTACATAAAATATTTCCATCACATGGCACCTCTTGTGGTTCTACATAGCACCATTCGACAAAGTGCTATATGGCACCTCTTATGGTTCTACATAGCACCATTCGACAAAGTGCTATATGGCACCTTATGGTTCTACATAGCACCGTTTGACAAAGGTGCTATATAGCACCTGTAAAAATAGGTGCTAAATAGCACTAAAAGTGGTTCCCCTATGATTACGAGCCAAAGAACCGCTTTTAGTGCTATATAGCACCATTTTTTTTTAGAGTGTAGAGGATACCCAATGTATTAAAAGTAAATGGGAAAATGTCAAGATTTTAAAGGAAGATTGGAAAAATGTTTTCAAATTACAGTGGAAGACAACATATTCCTCAATCTGGAGAGAATTTGGTTGGAAAAATATAACTAGATTTTTCTTCACCCCCACGCAGAAGCAATACTTAAGCAAAAATGCAAATTGCTGGAGATTGTTTGGTTCAAACGAAGCTCACCACAGTCATGTATTTTGGGAGTGCCCTAAAATTAAGATATTTTAATAAATGTTCATAAATGTTTAGTGCGTATATTTCAGGTCCCCATCCAATTTTCTATCTTAACTCTATACTTTGGTCTTATAGATTCTAAATTGGAAAACAAATCTGACAAATACTTGATGAGAATTCTGCTGATAGCCTGTAAGAAAGCTATTGCCAGAAAATGGTTACAACCTGAAATACCAGACATTAGTGACTAGATTGGAATAGTACATGAAATCTATGTGATGGAGAGACTAACAATAAACCTTTGCTTATTATCTGAGAAATTTGTGAAGTTATGAGAAAAATGGATAAATTACATGCTCCCGCTAAGACCAAACCTTGTATAGGACTTACGAAATAATTTACTTAATTACAAAAGGTTGTGGTGGGAAATTCAATTAAAGAATGAGGGTTCAGAAAAGAAAAGAAAAGGGATGAAAGTAGTAATAGATTAAAGATTAACTTAAAATACCTACAATGAAAATTAAAATACTTTAGGAGTTTATTGCATCATCCTCAGCTTCCTTGTGTCATGGTTTGGATGAAGGGATGAGGCGAGGACTCAATTGCAGGACAATGGTCTTTTATAAATGAAAAAAAAAAAGAGAAGCAAACACAAACTACCCAGAGGGGGAAAACAGCAAGGCAAGGCAGGATGAGCAACACGGGTAAATAACACATACCACAAAGACATCTGACATATAAACAATGCACCAGCATAGGACTGCAGACCTGCAGAATAAATAGGGAGACAAACAAGGAGGGTAACGAGGGAGACACAGGTGGTGCAACTGAAACAATAATGAGGTAACAAGATGGGCAGGGACAGACAATAGACAGCAGAGCACATGGTACCAACAAACACACAATAAGCCATGTGCTCAACAAAAGACACAGTGACCACTGGTGACCATCTAAGGCACACCAGCTGAATACCGTGACACCTTGTGTACATAGTTGAAAGTGTAACAAGAAGCAAAAACTTACATAAGGTTATGGTACTAAGCCACACAAAACTGTGCCATAAGTGCATAACGGTAATGCTTATTGAATCATGAAAGAGATTGTACCTTTGTCACAGCTTTCACCTTTTTTTTTCATGATAATTATTTTCATTTTTATTTATTCTTATTTATTATTATTACATGTCCGAATAATTCATGTCATAATTGATGTCCTTATTAACATTAATAATATGAACAAGGCAATACCTATCTTGTCAATGTATTAGGATGGTATTTTGCATTTTGTGAAAAATGTGAACTTATTTAAATAAAAAAACAAAAATGTATTCCACACCTGTTCAGGAAACTTAGGTTAAAGTTTATTTCAGTATACTTTCAGTATACTAGGTTTTATGTTTATGCTAACGTATCGATACAGTATGCATGATGTAATTCAATTTTTGGCATCAGTATAGTTGCTCGCAGCCCGATTATGAGCACCTTGATACCTGTATTCATGCACGCAATCAAATGTTGAAAGTCTATGCATTCAGCTGTATGTATACTCGGAAACTACACACTTTGGGCTTTAGGGGTTTGTTCAAATCACTAACTCTAAACACCGTTAGCAATTACCACTAATGATTAAACATACTTAGGTCAATAACTGTGCATGTGCAAACGCTGTAAGATAAAGTTGTACCACGCTGTTTCTGAGAGTAAGAGCATTCCACACTGCAATACATACATGTATGCATGTTCCTGCATGAGTGTGTCAGATCATAGATATCAAAACAAAGCTTTATTTTTATGCTGATTGCAGCAGGTCTCGACAGTCGTGCAGCATCATTGGACTTGACCTCTTCATCTGCGCTCACACGCAAATTGCGTCCTCACCGTGCAGATGTTGTTTGACGTATGACAGTAGAATCTATGAGTGAACACTGGCATTTTTAAGCATATTTGTGCATTATCTAGGATAAGCCTTTGGTTTGCCCAAACTAGTTCAAGATTATATTGTGCAGGAACTCAAAATTAATTGGTAATCAATGAGCCTTAAGTGCCATTTATTCAGTCAGATAAAGACATTTTGAAGATTTTCTTCTTAAGGAAAGAAGAAGATATTCTTAAATATGTTCTTAAGAACATCTTTTTTTTCTTAAGAAGAAAGAAAATCTCTTGAAAATCTCTTTATCTGACTGAATAAATGGTGCTTCTTGCTAAAGACTCTACTGATAAAGTCAATGAAAAACACTTCAAGGGTTGTCTTTTTGATGCCTGCAGATAAAGAGATTTTTCAAAATGTTCTTCTTAAGAATCTCTTTATCTGACTGAATAAATAGTGCTTCTTGCTAAAGACTCACTGATAAACTCAATGAAAATCAGTTCAAGGGTTGTCTTTTGCTGTAGAGTACCGTAATAATCATAATAAGCGTGCACACTATTTTCATCACAACCAGCCTTTTTTTTTCTTGAGTTTATCAATGAGTCTTTAGCAAGAACTGCCATTTATTCAGTCAGATAAAGAGATTTTTAGGACTCCTTCTTAAAGGGGTCATATGATGCGATTTCAAGTTTTCCTTTCTCTTTGAAGTGTTACAAGCTCTTGGTGCATAAAGAAGAGTCAACCACGCCTACCTAAAACGGCTCATTCTAACACGCCCCCACATGTCTACGTCACTACACTCTTAAAAATAAAGGTGCTTCAAAAGGTTCTTCAAGCGATGCCATAGAAGAACCAGTTTTGGTTCCACAAAGAACCATTCGCCTCGTTCTAACACACCCCCACATGTCTACGTCACTATGTGGAAATATTAGCATAATGCCGCCCAAATGTGCACGCAAAGAAAGAAGGCGTGGTTTCAGGAATAGCAGTAATGCTGATGCAGCCATGTCAGGGAGACACTGTGTTTCAGTGTGAAAGCAAAAGCACTTTATTTGGCCTTCCGGAAGTAGGTGTTTAACTGTCTTGATATTTACTTTGAAAGCTGAAGCTCACGATTATGGTAAGGTGCGTTACATTTCCGACGCGTGCTTGTGGTGTTCGGCCAATCACAATGCACTGGGTCAGCTGGCCAATCAGAGCAGACTGTGCTTGTCAAAGGAGGGGGCTTTGTTGAAAACGAAGCGTTTGAGAGAGGCAGGGCATAGAGGACCTACAATAATGTACAGTATTTGAAAAATAATGTTTTTTGTACATTAAAGCATGTCAACATATTCTGTTACACCAAATACACAAAATAATTATCTTTAAAATAGCATCATATGACCCCTTTAAGAAAAAATAAATAAAAGATGTTCTTAAGAACATATTTGAGAACTTAAACTTTTTACAAGAATTTCACTTAGAATTGCACATTCCTACAAACTGCTTGGAATTTATCTTAAGAAATTTCTTTACTTATTTAACTGAATCCGGCCCCTGAAGACCACCGAATGAGACAAACTGGAAGTAGAAGCTGTTAGGAAGGACTATACCATGTTAATGCATGTGGTTTTGAATGTAAATGTTTAGCAAGTACACATGGATGTGCTGTTTGTTTGTCTAGCCATGTGTAGGTCAAACCAAACCATACTTTTACCATATTTTTGCTATAGCTGTTGGGTAAACGAGGGGACACAGTGAAGCCACACTGGTGTTCAGACAAGAGTTAACTATATGATGAAGGCAGACTTTTATTTGAAAAAGCTTTTTATCACACATTTTCAAGTATTTTTATACAATGCATCACTTTTTTGATACCTTTTGTTAAAATTTACTGAATTCCTTAGTGTTTCAAAGATTTTATTTAATGGTTTTAAGTAATTGTCTGTAATACAGATAAATCTAAATTATAAAATATTTAAATATTTATATTTGAAATAATTTAAATAAAAATATATGTTAAAATATTAAGTTAATAACCTGCAAAGGGGGATGCTTTCACAAACAGTCAATGCATAATGCTGTAAAAAAAAAGAAAAATAGTTTAATGCAATAATGCTGTAAATGCTTTGCTGTTGTTGGTTTTCTCAAAATATAAACCCTCCCTGAGACATATTTTTTAAACTGAAATTGTGAAAACAGCCCTGGTTTCCCAATAATAATAAAAAAAGAGTAAGAGTGTATTGAGTCACACTTTACAGCACTCAGCAAGAGTGTACCTATGACATCAGTAAGAAAGTACCTATGTAATATAAAAATAATGAAGTAAAAATAAAAGCAAAGAAAACCATATACATAATATGTCATTTTTTTAAGAGATTGCTTATATATAATTGTATCTAGTACAATGTGCTTTAAAGTATTGTGTATTAATTTTGCATCACAGAGTTATATGATGTTAAACCAGTGAAGCAACACCTGCCCCTGTGCGCTGACAGGTGGGTGTGACTCCACCCCTCACTGCTTTACTGTACAGCAGCTCTCACTTTAAAACCAGCATCAGTCTCACACAAACACACACACTACACAAGCTTCAGAGAAACTTGAGCACGACTACAGGGCAGCATGTCTAATATTGCAAAAGTTCTTTCTGGGAGGCAGGACAGAGGAGAAGGAGTGGGAACAAACAAGAAGGCGATTCCTTTCAACAAGCAGGACTACCAGAGCCTGAAGCAGGAATGTCTGGCGAAAGGAACCCTGTTCTGTGACCCGACCTTCCCTGCTGAATCCGACTCTCTGGGATACAGTGAACTCGGGCAGCAGTCCCCCAAGACCAGAGGAGTGCAGTGGAAGAGACCTAAGGTACTGCAGTGTGTGTGTGTGTGTTTGCTTTCTTCCACACAGATGGAGTTTAGGTAAATATTGAGACCCTCTAAATTACTTTTGTTTTACACAATTACTTAAATGCAAAAAAGTAAATAAATAAAAAGTAGTGCAGTTAATTAAAGAGTAGTGAGTTTAATTCAATAAAATAGTAATATCAATATTAAATATGAATATAAAATAATACATTTAAAAAATAGTACTTTTCATATAGTTTTTGTCATGCTTGTGTTTTTTATAGAATCCATTTTTACCTAATATATAGCCAAAATGATAACAAAGAATGAATTAAAGTTAATTCAATATTAATCAATAATGACAATATCAAAAACAATATTTTTCTCAAATAACAGCAGTTAAATTAGATGTTACCCTATGAAAATTATTTTTAATTATCTATTTTTGTAGTGTATTTATTCTATTCTATTTCTATTTGAAATCGATTAAGTCTTCATGGTAAATTTTGACATTTGCATTCACACGGAACAAAGGAAGGCATTTCAGTGATTAATAAAAATATTAAATAAAATCGTTTTAGAAATGTTAAAATTGAAAATCTAATTGCTGCCCTAAAATTGTAATAAACCCAAAGCGGTGTAAAGATACCTACAACTTTTACTCTCTGATCAAGAAAATCAAGTTTCATTAAATATATTAGATAGACAGATTTAATTATATATTTAATATTCAGTAAATATATGGGCTGCCAATTTAATGCGTTAATTTAATTAATTAGTTAAATAGGGGCGGACTTAACCAATAAGCAAGGTAAGCGGCCGCTTAGGGCCCCGGGGAATCAGGGGGCCCCATCTGATATTGGCGAAACATATTTGGCAAATGCTCCAGTGTGTATTTCTGTTCTGGAGAGGGTCAAATGTTCACTCAACCCTTAAAATGCTGAGTTTTTGTTAAGTGCTGAGTTCTGCAAACTCGCGAATCCTCTCATTATAACAACGTGTAGATACGATGTAAATAAGAGAGTGATTGTGCAGTGTAGACAGCTTCATTGATTAAAGGAAAGTCCTAAGATCGTGAAGAACTGAAGTGAATGACAGCTTTTAGTGATTTAGTGCTTTTAGGCTGTAGATTTTTAGGCTGTATAATCCTGTCTGACTGTCTCAGAACGGATATTAACCTCAGAGAAGAAAGTATCGTGTTGTGTGTCATGATTTTATTTGTCCTGATGTTTCAAAATGACTCGCTTGTGTGCTTTTCCTAGGAGCACCGTTGCGAACTGCTGCCCACTCATACAAATGCACGAATGCGATGACTGGAGACTTTCACCTAATAATAGATTACATTTTTGATTTTTTTACTTGGCAAACCCTACCGTATGCCTTAAGAACACTTGGAATACGGAACATTTGAATCCTTTTTGTAAAAAGATTGAAGAAGGTTACAATTCATTAAATGGAAAAGTGCAAGCATGTCTTCTTTTGTGATCCGAAAAAAATAAGCCTAATATGGCTTTGGAACAGCATCAGGTTGACTAATTATTTAAAGGTGGGGTAAGCGATTTCTGGTAGCCAATGTTGACATTTGAAATCACCAAAACAAACACACCCCTACCCCAAAAGGGTCTCGCCCCTATTTTGATAGCTCCGCCCCACACATACGTACGCAACCCAGGCAAT